GAGGGAAATAAAATGCAGTTATTGTTTAAATAAACTGCTTTCATGACTCTTTTTCTTCATAAACTGCTCCTAGATATAGTTCATAAAATTTGGATGTTGCACCGTCTTAAATGATTTTCGAATGATTCATTCCGCATTCTTTTTAGCGAATTTTCTCATTTATGGAAAAAATGCACTATTGTGCTCGCCATGTCCGTCTGTCTGTCTGTCTGTCTGTCCGTCCGTCCGTGACCTCAAGTTTTCGTCGACGAGAAAATGCGCTCTCTGTCACTCACTCTGCAATGCCATAGTCAACATACCCTCTGCATGATGGCTTACATTACATGCCACATTTCCCTGAATGTATGGAAATGGCATGAATTCCTAATGTATAAAAGAAAATGTTATGCAGCTCTCATGTCAGCATTAAAAGGCAAACACTCGAGAAGGCTTCAGTTAGCTATCAGACTCTCAGGGAAAAGCGTTGGGTGACCACCGCTCTTAATAGTTATCAGTTTATCCACGCACTTTCAATGCACTTCAAGTTCCATTTATTAAATGCACTTTCAATTCCATTTATTCCAATCACTTTCAATTCCATTCATTCCCTTCACTTTCAAGTCCATTATTAACTTGCTTCCCTTGATTTATTAACATTTCATTTCGATGGTAGTCTTTTAGTTGGCAGGCCTATATTCAGTAGTAGATTAAAAAATTTCAAAGCGAATTAAAATTATGCATACTACGCATGGCTACATGCCATATTAGCGTATATTATTCAAATAAACTATTATTATTTGGAAGGAAAAATAATCCTTTCATTCATTAACAATTCATCAACACAGTTAATTACTGTGAATGTTATTTTTCTTCACTACTTAATATCTGCGTTTATTAGAATCTATGGGTAATAAAAATGACAATTATATTGCTATACCTACGTATATAGAAATATTAATTCAACCACAAGAACAAAAGCATGGCTTAAAATTTTTTATCCCAATTCAATAATTTCTAATTGAGAACTGATAAATCGCTTGCGATTAAATAATACCATGGGTAATCAAATACAATGCAGTTTCAATTCTCAATTCATGCAAGCTGCACGTTTTTGGCTGTGGAAAAAATAAGGAATTAACGTGTAATTTAAGATAAACAAATAAAAACTAAATCGGTAAGATTCCTCAAAATAAAAAAAAGTTAAAAATCTTTATAACGAAAAAAATAGAGCGAACATTCTTTTTTTTTCACTTTTCACTCCATATGAATGTTTTCGCGGGTACCATGTAATCAGAACGGTAAAATTTAACCGAATTGATTTATCTACCTTTGACAAACTGTAACAATGTGCATTGTGCAGCAATCACAATTGCTTTCCCGTCTGAATACAGGTATCGAGAATAGGAATCCTTATTCAAGATTTTTTCGGAAGCTCACAGTCAACAGTAGATATTTTTAGGACGTCGCTGGTCGCTCTCAATTTCAAAATAGACTTCTAAAAGAAATATGGTGCATGATTTTTATTTCAATCGATTCTTAATTTAACAGTAACACCCAAATTCCCAAACAGGTCTCTGTTACGGATATCGAAGTTAAATTACTTGTTACAATATTTTACCATATATATTTCAATTCGGGATATACAAGCAAATACGTATCTCGTTGAAGCAAAATGGAGCGGACATCATTAACAGCTATCCGGTTTTCACATAGATCGTTAAAAGTTTTTAAAATCACGCTCACTGTTCCACGGTACACACTAATGAACTAACAATAGACATTTAAAGCTAAAGCTTTGTACAAAATGCTGTGAAAAGCTAGTTCTCTTTAACATTTGTGATAGAAAAAGTTTGTGTTTTTTGCCCATTTATGAAACGCTGTAATAATTATTTTAAAATTAATTGTCCCCTCTTTGACGGCAATAGATTGGTGGAGGGTGCGCTGTCGATATTCCGGCTCAAATCTTTAGATTAAAATTCATGGGAAAGCATATTGTGTACCGGCTGGAAAAATATCTGTTTTGCCGTTGGATGCTTTTACTATGTATGTAACTGTTATTTGCCTCCTATAAAGAGTTCAGAAGAACATTAAGTTCATTCAACGATTGCACAATTAACCTTCCAACTTCATTGTTCGCGTAAAACGTGGGGTCATATGCTAAAAGTAAACTCAGACCTTATTTGCCATTTTCATTTGCGAACTTCATTTAAATGCATCTTGTCGATCCACTTCATCATGACTGTGAGTCGCTTGGTAAACCAAACTCAAAATCAAAATATTTGATTTTTCTTAGGTGCAATTTTAAATGCCGAGGCCAATAAAAACCATACCAGAAATCATGAAGTCATCCTCTTACATAAGCACGTAACTGTTATGGGGAAAAGTTAAAAAATTTAGGCCGCTGTAAAAATTGAGGCTGCCTTGCCGGCGATCGAGGAGCAGAGATCGCTGCATCAAGTAACGTGATAAGCATGATCCACTAAAATAAAAAGTCAATAATGGTTATATATACAGGAGATAAAGTAACCACGTTATCTAATAAATTACAGGCATTCCCACAATCGCAATTGTTATTATAGCTTTAAATAGTGACGCGCGCATCAATGCGCATTATCGTAATGTGCACTGCCATCATCTGCTGGAAATCAAAGGAATATGAACGACACTATCTTTGATAGATTGCCCGAGCACTTAACTATTGAATGCCTAAATATATGAATTTTAATTTCTTCTACAGCATGGGTGCGATGGTCAAAACATCGGAATTGTACGTTAAAGAATAAAAAGTTTTTTCCGGTATTAAAACGGAATAAAACCTAGATTCCATTTAAAACTCTGGTGTAAGAAGTGTTCCCTCACTGCGTAATTATTCTCTGAAATTAGAACAATATTGAGCCAAAACAGCACATTTATAAAAAGAAGAAGAATGGGTAGTCATAAAACGGCGAGAGAACAAATATAACAGTTCATTATGAGATGCTGTGCAATGAGAGTGAACTAATTTCAACGTCTGCTGCGTTCTGTCAGGCTTCATTCTGCTGAGCGTTTGACGTTATTATTACGTTTGCTTCCAACGTTATACTGACGGATATTTATTTAACAAATTAAACAAAGATATAAATGTTTTTTTTTTTATTTATGTCGTGAATGAAAAAATTACATAAATCCATGCAGCTTATGACCACAGTTTTATGTGAGCTTTGGTGGGCCAAAATTTCAACTAAAGTTCAGGTCGCCTTTGACTCCATTTTCAACAATACACTAGGCTCACAATCCTCTCATGATTCATTTCAATTGCACAAATAGAGGTATAAAAAAGTGAAATAATCTCATTAAATATAGTACATATACTTACAACAGTGTGAGTTATAACACTTTAAGCCAGAGGTCTCCAGCCTTTCGTTGCTTGAAGACAACTTTCCTTGTAAACATGTCAAGAAATTATAAATGACAGACAAAAAACACCTCACAACGCTGGAAAAATACTGCCATGTCATACTTTCATTAAGCGTCTCCCCGAAAAAATTCGATGGGGAGGTGCAGGTTGACTATCCAAAACTAATTAGCGCTGGAGATACGTTGAAAATACAAGTTTTTCTATAAATGAAATATATGTACCGCATGGAAAATAATACCATGTGGAGAGTTTGATTGAAGTCATCCCATGTTCGGCTGAAGCGATCTTACCGAATGTGCCATATTTGATTTCCAATAAACCGGTGGTGATGAACCACTTATTCATCACAACAAATATAATCGTTGTCTTAAACTGTATACATCATAAACTCACATTTCAAGTCAAAAACCTTAGAACTTGTTTCTTAAAGCCGGTAATAACACCAATAATCTTAAAGCAGGTAAGCAGGTATAATAGCACCAATCTTAACCCTTTAAGCCCTGGTGTGACGAATTCGTCTTACAAGGTAAAAACACCAATCTTAAAGCAGGTAATAACATCAATCTTAGAGCAGGTAATAACACCAGTAGATGACGTTGAAGAACATGAAGCTGAGCGGGAACAGCAAACGGCAGTTGGAGTCGATGGCGTGCACGCGTCTCTTGGAGTTGTTGGCGAGGCTGGCCACGAGCTGCAGGGGCAGAGCAGCTAGAGCTTCGTCCGTTAGCTTGCTGCTCAGCTGAATAATGCAAACAAAATCGTTATAAATAAATCAATCGAAAATCTCAACCAACAGAAATATTATTGTGGCGCTGCTCAGCTGAATAATGCAAAGAAAGTCGCAATCAGTAAATCAGTCGACGATCTTATCCAATTGAAATATTATTGTGCCGAGATTGGAAATGTTGATTTGAGTTTGTATGTTGATTCAAAGATGACTTGCTTACAAATCTGCAAAGTTTTTTTCTTACGAATGCGATATCAAATATCTTACGAATGCCATATTTTTTCGAATGCGATATCATCCACGGCTTGAAAAATTATAGTTAAAAACATTTGTTTGAACGGCGTTTTAGGGCTGGCTGACCGTCGCAAAATTATTGGGGTCTTCCTTTTTTCCTCTGAGATTACTCGTAACTAATAAATGGAAATAAATTGAGCCGTGAAGTCATTAATTTCAGCCGTAAGATGACACTGATGCTCACCTGTCAGAAGTGCTGCGACATATATCATAAATATGTAACCATAATAACAGAGATGCTGGTCATCTCATCTGGTCATCAATAAAACGGTCTCAGTTTAATAGAAAATATAACTCAGTACTCACTGCAGTGAGTGACAGAGAGCGCATTTTCTCGACGACGAAAACGTGAAGTCACGGACGGACAGACAGACGGACGGACGGAACAGGCGAGCACAATATCGCCTTCTTTTCAATAAATGAGAAAATGCGCTAAAAAACACTAAATGATCTTTTTCCTATCTATTTGAACAACATAAACACTGTTATCCTTGTATACAATCGTAAGAATGCAGTTCTACTCACAGCGATGTTAGGAGACGGGAAGATTGCCGAGTCGTTGCCCTCGTTGCCCTTCTTCTCCTTGCAGCTGGTACAGATATCGCCACCCGAGCGTCCAGCCACGCGACTGCCGTTCAGTCCGAACAGGTTCGGCAGTTTGGGCTGGGGTCGCTTACGCCACATGTAGTTCACGAGGGTAAACTCCAACAGCGCGCAGAACACGAACGCTGGGAGATGAGAGGTTCGATGGTGAAACTTTTGTATGGTTTTGTGCCTTGCAATGCCAATCGATTAGATATGGTTATCTATTTGTCTTTTGAATGAAAATGATATCATTATTACAATGCACATAACACGAACGCTGGGGAAAATAGGTTCGCTGGTGGAACTTTTGTATGGTTTTTGTGTATTGAAATGTCAATAGATTGATTATGCTTGCCTTTTGATCCTTTGAATGCAAGGAAGGATATAATTATTATAGGATTCAGAATTCGAATGCTGGGGATAAAAGGTTGGATGGTGGAACTTTTGTATGGTTTTGTAAGGCCAATTGATTAATTATGATCATCTATTGATGCCTTGAATGCAAAGAAGGGTATCATTATTACAGGGCGCAGAACACGAACGCTGGAGATAAGAGGTTCGATGGTGGAACTTTTGTATGTTTTTTATTGTTTGCAATGAGAATCGATTAATTATGATTATCTATTGATCCCTTGAATGTTAAGAAGGATGTAATTATTATATGGTGCAGAACACGAATGCTGGGGAAAATGGGTTCGCTGGTGGAACTTTTGTATTATTTTGTAAGGCCAATTGATTAATAATGGCTAACTATTGATCCTTTGAATGCAAGTAAGGAAATCATTATTAAAGGGTTCACAACACGTACGCTGGGGAAAAGAGTTTCGATGGTGGAACTTTTGAGAGGTTTTTGTGTTTTGCAATGCTAATCGATTAATTATGGTTATATATTGATCCTTTGAATGCAAGGAAGGATATAATTGTCACAGGTTGCAGAAACCAAACGAATAAGCGAGACTTGGTACTGAAAGCGATACACTTTTTCCTTTCCAAAGGAGTGTGTCACTCTGATCCAGTTAGCCCCTGGCAAAAGAGGGTATCATTGCTACGTGAAGAGTATGTATTACAATTTGAACAAAATAACCTATTAATTTTTTTTAGTGTGGAGATAAGGGGCTTGTAAGGGCGTTTGTAGGTTTTTAAATATTGTAATGTTAATCGAGTAATATTGGTCATCCATTATTCCTTTGAATACGAGTGCAATAACTTTTTTCATCATGATTGTGAGTGTAATGAGAAATTTACCGGTAGGGTATACGGAAGTTTAAGCTTAATAAAAAATGGAAATCTAAATTAACTATTAGGGTAGAATGGAAATAAAAGACGGCCGCTTAGGAAATGAACGCTCGAGCAAACGGTCAGTCTCGGTAGCTTTGCATATAAAGGGGAGCTGGAATCTCAATCCCACACACTCACAGAGAGTGTCTGTTGCTTCTTAAAGTCCCTTTGCTCTCGAGCTTTATTTTCCACCAGGGATTCATGAGGGCCTTTTTGAGTATGCATTCGAGAGTTGTTTACGTACGGATTTATTGAAGAGGCTTAAAGTGCAAAGTCTTTTATTCTTGTAATGTAATTACTTTAGATGCGTAAATAATTGAAAGTTAGTTTTATTGTGTACTCTTGGGCAAACGCTTTCATGCACAATTTTTATCTTTGTCGAAATTAATTTATTTCAGAATATACTTCGTCCAAAAAAATCAATCTTCTGCCATGAGTTGTTCAACCAATAACTAATAAACTTCTAGTTATCAGTTTTTTTGAATTTATTTGTGCGAGTTACTGTTTGATTGTACATAATAATTAAATAGTTTTTTCTGTGATAGTTTATTTGCAAAGCAATTTTTAGATTATTTTTTTTAGAAGCTGACGCTCTGTTTCAAATGTTCTGTATCCTTTCTGCTCGCGGCAATGTATCCTATGTTATTACTTATAGGATTCCAAAATATCTAACTTCGGAATTTTAGGCGATTATGAACCTTCATTTCACTAATAGAGACTGTTTTTATATGAACGTTTCTCTAAGTAACTTCTGGTATACTTGATTATTACAAAACTACTTGATTCATATATTTCGTTGTACATCTGTAAAAATAAATAAATTATATGAAGAGTTCCTTTGAAATGTAGCTTCAAAATTATTTAAACGTGCTTTCATTTGCATTATACAAGCAGAGAAACAAAATGCCTAACTGTGATTTAAAGTTATGATATATTAAAAAATATATTTGTCTTACCTCTATATCAAGTATGCGCATGCATCTATCCGCAATAAATCGCCCTCATAACCTTATTCGATAAAGTTTATGGTCACAATTCATGCGTATCTTTTACGCTGCATTTGTTTTATGTGGGCGAGGTTTGAACAGCTGGTGAGACAAATGCTCGGCATGACATCGGACTCCGTCAAAAATTGACGGCAGTAACGACCAAAATCGGAAACCGAACTGACCAAGATTGATTGACATGCGTTGATACTCACAAAAAATTCTTTCAGATTTTTGAAACTTGAAACTTTTCTAAAGTCTGTTAAAAATATTTAGGCCATGCATGAAAAATTAACAGAGTTCTCATTGTGTGTCCTGTTTCCAATTGAAGTCAAACACTGAAATTTTTATTTCAGTTTCCATCTTGAAGTGTTAAATTTTTCATCCGTGTAACTGATGTAAATTTAACTATCAATATATACGCCACTTAAAGGACGATATAATCCGTTTAAAATTTTCTTTGTTTGGAGTGAGTGCTAAACAAATATATTTTTAAGGCTAGGCCGAGGAACATCTAGCGCAAAAAGCAGTATGATAACAATTAATCAGTTCAAAATAATAATAATAAGTATAATAAAATAACAAGAATAATAGTATGATAATAATAATAATAATATTAATATTAATAAGAATAATAATAATAACATCAATAATAAGAACATTTTCCAGCTCACCAGTGCAAGCTCCCATCCAAACGTCTATGGCCTTCACGTAGGAAACTTGAGGCAGGCCTTCCTGGATATCTGCATGTAAAACCATCGTTAAATAAGCACGAACAGCAGCTAAAATAATCAGTTAATAAGCATGCTATGCATGACAAGCATTTGAATATTATATGAGTCCGTAAATATCACAAATAATTTCTTAAAAAAACGTTAGCACCGGAAATTTCTGAGAACCTGCATATAAATGCCCTAAAAATAATGAGATAATACGGAAACTGAACTTGTTCAGAATTTCAGGAGAAAAAATAAATAAAATTTACAAATAAAATAAATATCGCGAAAAAAACGCTCATGACCTAGAGATTAATTTCTTTTAGTGAAGATTTCTCATTAATGCAAGTTTCATCGTTATAGTTAACAAGCTCAACGACATCAGCAGGAACTGTTATAAAATACCAAAAACAAGACAAGATAAAAACGGAAAAAATATTCCTTTGTCTACTAATAATAAATCACGTGGCTTTGGCTTATCATAAAAATTAAACAGGAAGGATCAAGGCAAAATTACAGAAAAGATTTAACCTTAAGCAATATAAATCCATTTTCGAGGCGCTCGTAATTCTAAAATTTTCAAAATTTAATAATCTTACGTAACAAACACGAAATTTATATCGGTGAATTTATCAAACGTTGATACAATCATATAAATGATTTGATGCGTAATTCTTACAATGAAAGTATCGAGTAATTTCTCACAATGAAAATGTGACATACCTTCTTTTATAGACAATAGGATTTTAATTTGAAATTATGGCTCACAATCGCGACAATGAAACATAAATTAGAAGCATATACAGATCAACTTCACTCGTATCTACTTGCTATATTAATACAGGAAATCAGCACCCGCATCATATTCTATAATCTGTTATAGAACCGAGCATCCCTCACAAGCTGGTCGAGTCGGGGTTCTTGAATAACCACGAGTCAGGATTATAATACGGCCAATAAACCTCATTAAATAATTAATTTAGCTTAAAGGAAGACTTACTTAAGTCATTAATGGCGCACCTTATTGAGGAATGACGGAATAGTGGGAGTGCGATGAACGATAATTTTGTTTTATATTTAGCTATACACTAACTTGCTAAATTGAAGTGTAATTGACTTATATTGTTTAATTTATGATTGCATTGCTAGATAATTATTTAACATTTTTGAAACTAAAATGACTCAACGGACTAGTCTGATAATCGAATATTTCGTGAGTCAATAGAATTGAAATGAAAACCGCTAGTGCTTCGAGAGAGACTTTCACCCTGAAGTTAATCACTCTGGAGTGCATATTTCGATGACACTTTGATTAGGGCCCTAACAAAAGTTGGGGACCATCTAGGCTTCTATCCATGATTCGCTACACTCGGTTTAAAGTAATTCTAGGTCTGCTTGGCCAATTCTAGGTCTGCTTGGCCTTGGCTTTAGAAAGTTAGACAAGATATATAGATTTAAATTCTTGAGAATAAGACGAGAGCTGGTGTGGGCATCAATAACATCTACAAGCTTGTTTTATGACTAGTTGGACACTGTAAGCAGGGTGGTCACTCGCCTGAGGACTTGGTGGACATGGCAAGCAGAGTGGTCAGTCACCTGAGGACTTGGTGGACACTGTAAGCAAGGTGGCCACTCACCTAAGAACTTGGTGGACACTGTAAGCAGGGTGGTCACTCACCTGAGGACTTGGAGGACACTGTAAGCAGGGTGGTCACTCGCCTGAAGACTTGGTGGACATGGCAAGCAGGGTGGTCACCCCCAGAGTTGTACGGCCAGGTACAGAGTCCACGTCCATCCAGAAGCCGACCCAGGATATCACTTACCGATGTAAAACGACTCGTTGCAGATGGAAGGTCGTATTGCGTTGATCTCGTACTGCGGCATGCGGAGGTCGCGGTACATTTTGATGGGGTCCTCACTTTTCCAGCGCAGCTCCAGCTCCTTCATCGTCTTTGAAACTGTGGATAATAGAGCAGAAAAGATTCATCATGCACATATCGGACCTTGAAACTTTGGATATTAGTCAAAAAAAAAAGATTTATCATGCACACATCGGGCCTTGAAATTGTGGATATTAGAACAAAAAGATTCATCATGCACACATCGTACCTTGAAACTGTGGATATTAGTAAAAAAAAAAAAGATTTATCATGCACACATCGTACTTTGAAACTGTCGATATTAGACCAAAAAAATTCATCATGCACACATTGTACCTTGAAACTGTGGATATTAGAGCAAAAAAGATTCATCATGCACACATCGTACCTTGAAACTGTGGACATTACAACAAAAAAAATTCATTATGCACACATCTTACCCTGAAACAGTGGATATTAGACACAAAAAAGATTCATGATGCAGACATCGTACCATGAAACTGTGGATATTAGACCAAAAAATATTCATCATGCACAAATCGTACCTTGAAACTGTGGATATTAGAAACAAAAAAAGATTCATCATGCAGACATCGTACCATGAAACTATGGATATTACTCATATTAGACGCAAAAAAGATTCATCATGCACACAGCGTACCTTGAAAGTACAAAATTCTATCGCAATTAAATTGTTGTCGATAAAGTGGTAGTTCAAAGTAATACGAAAAGACTCCATTAGCCGATGTAGGGAATACTCATATATTCGTTGCATTGCTCACAACGGCAAAAACCTGAATCTAAAATTTAGCTCAGTGCATTTGCATTCTTCGAAAAATTTCAATATGTTTTCACAGTTAAAGTTAAATAGATATCCGCATCTGCATAACATCCTTTTTTGGCCGGTCATCTGCCAGAAAATGAATGCTTTTGAAATATTTCAAATGAAGAAAGATTACTTTTAGAAGTTTTCATTAGATGAGAAAAATGTTAAAACATTCTGCTAGAATATGTGAAAACATAAGATACTAAAATAAAATCTCATGTTGGACACAAATCGAGTATTCTCTAATAATATAAAAGTATTCAGAAAAAAATGGTTTGTTATTGCGAGTAAAGTTCATTATCGGAACCCCATTTATGATGCAGGGAAATTTATGAATATATAATGTATTACTAATGTCACTTTGGACCATCACGCATGTCAATCAAACGGGCGAACAATCACCGTAATATTCATGAAATAAATTTATTTGAAATAATAAAAAACTCACAGCTGGCCACTTCCATGGTGCAGATTTGGGCGTCTAGAGGGAATTTTGAAAGCTCCAGCATACAAGAGAAGAGCAGCTTCAACCTTAGAGAAGGGTAGAATGGTTAGAAGACAAGATGGACATAAGATGGTTAGTGATAATCTGGAGACCCAGCCCTAACAAAATTTAGAGTCGCCCCAGCTTCTGGTACTCCAAATCAGAAGCTGCCGCGTCTGTAAATTTTCACTGTAATAAAATTTAGAGTCGCCCCAGCTTCTGGTACTCCAAATCAGAAGCTGCCATGTCTGTAAATTTTTACTGGGAGGTTACACTAGCAGAGCAGCTTCAACCTTAGAGAAGGGTAGAATGGTTAGAAGATTATAGATGGTTAGTGATAATCTGGATATCCAGGTAACACTAGAAAAGCAGCTTCAACCTTAGAGAAGGTTAGAATGGTCAGAATATTTGATGGTTAGGGATAATCTGGAGATCCAGGTTACACTAGAAAAGCACTTTCAACCTACAACATTAGATAAAATAATAAGAAATTTTTGCTTAAACTTCAACAACATTTGAACGAAATTAAATGAATCTAAGAAAAGTACATGAATCGGCGACAGGCCTATCCAGGCCTATTCTTTAAATGCCGAAGATACTATACTATACTATACTATACTATACTATACTACACTATACTATACTATACTATACTATACTATACTATACTATACTATACTATACTATACTATATAAGGCAAAATTACAGAAAAGATTTAACCTTAAGCAATATAAATCCATTTTCGAGGCGCTCGTAATTCTAAAATTTTCAAAATTTAATAATCTTACGTAACAAACACGAAATTTATATCGGTGAATTTATCAAACGTTGATACAATCATATAAATGATTTGATGCGTAATTCTTACAATGAAAGTATCGAGTAATTTCTCACAATGAAAATGTGACATACCTTCTTTTATAGACAATAGGATTTTAATTTGAAATTATGGCTCACAATCGCGACAATGAAACATAAATTAGAAGCATATACAGATCAACTTCACTCGTATCTACTTGCTATATTAATACAGGAAATCAGCACCCGCATCATATTCTATAATCTGTTATAGAACCGAGCATCCCTCACAAGCTGGTCGAGTCGGGGTTCTTGAATAACCACGAGTCAGGATTATAATACGGCCAATAAACCTCATTAAATAATTAATTTAGCTTAAAGGAAGACTTACTTAAGTCATTAATGGCGCACCTTATTGAGGAATGACGGAATAGTGGGAGTGCGATGAACGATAATTTTGTTTTATATTTAGCTATACACTAACTTGCTAAATTGAAGTGTAATTGACTTATATTGTTTAATTTATGATTGCATTGCTAGATAATTATTTAACATTTTTGAAACTAAAATGACTCAACGGACTAGTCTGATAATCGAATATTTCGTGAGTCAATAGAATTGAAATGAAAACCGCTAGTGCTTCGAGAGAGACTTTCACCCTGAAGTTAATCACTCTGGAGTGCATATTTCGATGACACTTTGATTAGGGCCCTAACAAAAGTTGGGGACCATCTAGGCTTCTATCCATGATTCGCTACACTCGGTTTAAAGTAATTCTAGGTCTGCTTGGCCAATTCTAGGTCTGCTTGGCCTTGGCTTTAGAAAGTTAGACAAGATATATAGATTTAAATTCTTGAGAATAAGACGAGAGCTGGTGTGGGCATCAATAACATCTACAAGCTTGTTTTATGACTAGTTGGACACTGTAAGCAGGGTGGTCACTCGCCTGAGGACTTGGTGGACATGGCAAGCAGAGTGGTCAGTCACCTGAGGACTTGGTGGACACTGTAAGCAAGGTGGCCACTCACCTAAGAACTTGGTGGACACTGTAAGCAGGGTGGTCACTCACCTGAGGACTTGGAGGACACTGTAAGCAGGGTGGTCACTCGCCTGAAGACTTGGTGGACATGGCAAGCAGGGTGGTCACCCCCAGAGTTGTACGGCCAGGTACAGAGTCCACGTCCATCCAGAAGCCGACCCAGGATATCACGACAATAAGGATGGTTGGCAGGTAAAGCTGCACCAGGTAGAAGCCGATGGATCTCTGCAAGCTGAACTCTGCCACCAAGCAACTATAATTCCCTGCAGGGTCATTAATTTGTGCTTAGTTCGCCAATGCGTAAAAGGAGAAGAATCTGGACTGTTTGAAATTTGATGTCATCTTTCTGTGGACTTTTGAATAGATTGATGTTGTAGCTTTAACAATTTATGCTCCGCAACGAAAAAAGCCTAAAATAATAATTTAATAATTGCATCAAGACACTGATACCGTATAAATGAATACAAATTTTTAATATATAAATTTCGATGCAAAACGAGCTTAAATGATCAATCCAATAACTTCTTTAATTCGTATGCTTCAAATCGAAGTCCATGATGAATCAGTGAGCTACAGTGAATGTTTTAACCCCCTAACTAGCCTCTTGAAAATCCTTTTGGAGGAGGATTCAAAATCCCATCCATAAAAATCGTATTGCTGAAATTGGTTTCTTACACATCTGATGGAAGCTCCCACAGGAGAACGTCCACTTTTCGCTGATGCTTCCATTTATAAATTTTAATGAGATGTAAATCAATTTGAATTGTACGCGTACTAAAATTCCCAGATTGCTTACATCTCATATCAAATTTGAGTGCATTAGGGGACAAAATTGTGAGTTTCATTGAATTTTTATTCATTTTCATATTCCACTCGTAGTTTTGTTTACCGATGTAAAACGACTCGTTACAGATGGAAGGTCGTATTGCGTTGATCTCGTACTGCGGCATGCGGAGGTCGCGGTACATTTTGATGGGGTCCTCGCTTTTCCAGCGCAGCTCCAGCTCCTTCATCGTCTTTGAAACTGTGGATATTAGAGCAAAAAAAAAAAAAGATTTATAATGCACACATCGTACCTTGAAACTGTGGATATTAGACAAAAAAAAAAGATTTATCATGCACACATCGTACCTTGAAACTGTGGATATTAGACCAAAAAAGATTTATCATGCGCACATCTTACCATGAAACTGTGGATATTAGAGTCAAAAAAATTCATCATGCACACATCGTACCTTGAAACTATGGATATTAGACCAAAAAATTTAATCATGCAGATATCGTACCTTGAAGCTGTTGTCGGGTCGTTCGTTCCGTTGGTTCAAGGAAACGTGGTTCAATCAAGAGTAAATAGGCTTTATTCAAAGAACATACAGAGTTACACGGATAATAAGTGTTCGGGCGGCACGAATAGCATAACGTGATTAAAAGGTCCGCACACGTGTAACACTGCTAAAAGACTCCCGGAACAACCCGCCACTGACTGACGACACATTGTCACAGCGAGAAATCTGCTAAATTAAACATGGGAAAACTTGACAAAACCTAATACAATAACGAGGAAATACTTAAATTACCAAAATCATATTAAGATACAAAAAGGCTAGCGTGAGACAGGCGAACTCACAATAATACAATATACAAATGTTAAAAATTACACCCTAACACAAAGCTGTGAATATTAGAGCAAAAAGAATTCATCATGCAGAAATCGTACCTTGAAACTGTGGATATTAGACCAAAAAAGATTCATCATGCACACATCGTACCTTGAAACGGTCGATATTAGAAACAAGAAAAAAGATTCATCATGCATACATCGTGCCTTGAAACTGTGAATATTAAACCAAAAAATATTCATCATGCACACATCGTAGCTTGAAATTACAAAATTCTATCTAATTGATAAAAAAATGTCAAAATTTTTAAATTCTATTCTGAAATTGTTATTGATGAAGTGGTAGTTCAAAGTAAAACAAAAAGACTCCATTAGCCGATGAAGGGAATACACACATATTTGTTGCCTTCTTCGCAACGATAAAAACATAAATCTAAAATTTAGCTCAGTGCATTTGCATTCTTCGAAAAATTTCAATATGTTTTCGCAGTTCGAGATGAATAGATATCTGCATCTGCATAACATCAATTTTTTTGGCCGGTCAGCTGCCAGAAAATGAATGCTTTTGAAAGATTTCAAATCTAAAAAGATTACTTTTGAAAAGTTACATTACGCGAGAAAAATGTTAAAACATTCTACCAGAATAAGTGAAAATACGAGATACTAAAATCTCATGTTGGACACAAATCGAGTATTCTCTAATAATATAAAAGTATTCAGAAAAATGGTTTGTTATTGCTAGTAAAGTTCATTATCGGAACCCAATTTATGATGTAGGGATATTTATGAATATGTAATGTATCACTAATGTCACTTTGGACCATCACACGTGTCAATCAAACGGGCGAACAATCACAATAATATTCACGAAATAAATTTATTCGAAATAATAAAACACTCACAGCTGGCCACTTCCATGGTGCAGATTTGGGCGTCTAGAGGGAATTTTGAAAGCTCCAGCATACAAGAGAAGAGCAGCTTCAACCTTCGAGAAGGTTAGAATGGTTAGAATATTAGATGGTTAGTGATAATCTGGAGACCCAGCCCTAACAAAATTTAGAGTCGCCCCAGCTTCTGGTACTCCAAATCAGAAGCTGCCATGTCTGTAAAATTTTAATGGGAGGTTACACTAGAAGAGCAGCTTCAACCTTAGAGAAGGGTAGAATGGTCAGAAGATTTGATGGTTAGTGATAATCTGGAGATACAGGTTACACTAGGAAAGCACTTTCAACCTACAAAATTAGATAAAATAATAAGAAATTTTTGCTTAAACTTCAACAACATTTGAACGAAATCAAATGGATCTATCTATTGTGATCTCAATTTCTGTGAGTAAATATATGATCATTGAATTTTTCATAGCCAAAAATGATCTCAAATTATCTCTATTCAAATCTATGTAACAATTCATTCATCAAATTCGACATTTCCGACAACACAAGAAACTCTGTTCTTGGAATTTCTTTGAGCCGAAAACAGAACCGAAAAACACAAAACACGATCGAGATCAGACTCCACAGCTTGGGTTGACATGAAAGATTCTCAGCTGGCGACAGTGCGATTCAAAAAGCTACACTTTTGTACCGTCAGTAAAAGTCGAAAACATTTCTAAAATACTTTCTGTTTGCAACATTTCTAAAATAAAAAATAAAACATTTCTAAAGTATAGGTGTTTTCACTTATTTGAAGACTTTCGGTGACAACGAAAACAGCAAGGTGTTGCGTATTTTAATATTATTTTTAATATTAAAACGACGGTATTAACTTTTTCTGTACTCTGTTAACTATTCATAACGTTTTTTGTTGAGATTGGGTTAAAAATGAAAATATTTACTTGATATTCCCGAATGATAATTATTGGGAAATTTTTATGCTCTAGTGATGCGTACTCGAGAGTATTTATGAAATTGGACCAAGTATATGTTCTCATTTAAAATTACTAGACCTCATTAAAGATGTGATAAGCATTGTTTGCTGTCCATAACGGAAAATTTATGCCAAGCAATTGGTAATATACCCTTATTCTTATATCCTATATCAATGGTCCGTTTGCAAGAGAATATGTGCTTCAGAAATGTAACAAATTTATAATCACACAAAACTACGCAGAACGAAAGAGCCTATCAGGCAACTACAAGTATATAAATCCCTCCCTTCCAGGGCATCATGTATGCTTGAAAGCATCTCTTGGACAGCCTCATTATTTCAGTTTGAATGCTCTGAAATTCAGACGCTGATTCAAATGGAGTGGCTTCTGAAGTTGTTTATTCAACTAGAGTGTGAGCCACAACGATCCGCTTTTGCTGGGGAGAGGAGTGAAACTTTTTAGAGGGACCAAAATAAATCCGATGTTCCGTGGTGATTGAGTTTCAATTTCTCTAATTGGGCGAGAATGTAAACTAGAGGATACAAAATTAATTAAAAATTTGCCACCGTGGTTCGAAGATTAATCTGATGGTTCAGCAATGTAACTTTGGATATTTCTCCAATTGAACCCAGCTTCCTGGATGCCCAAGAGTTTCTTTTACAGTATTCGAAAATTTTTAAGATTAGATTTTTCCCATAAAATTTCGATGAGTTCAGCCACTTCTTTTCAATGCTATAACTTGACAATTTAAAACCCATGAAATCATGATGAATGATCAGAGAATTGTTCATGTCTGCTGTTGACATGAGACGTTCGTAGAATTTAATCAAATTCGTAAAAAATGCACCAAATTGTGGAAAATATACACTGGAAATTATTCAGCACAATCGGACACTATTAAGAAGCTTGTTTTAGAGTTTTGATAAGATTAGGCCGGCTGAAAAATAAAATTCAAAATGCCTCCAACTAAACAAATTGCAGTGTAAGATTGATTCTTGAACAAATTGCCATTTTGAAATACCTGGATCTGATTTTATCTCAACATATCCCTAAAATGCATAGAATNAAACTCTGCATCTTTAGCGTTGGGAAAATACACCTCGGGCTTCCAGATCGCCTTCACCAAGTTCGGGTCGTTCAGATCCAGCGGCTGGTCGATGTCGACGTGGTTGAGGCGTTGGTCAACCCAGGTTTGTCGTAGGTATAAGTCTACGTGATAGTCCTGTAATGTATTAACATATATTATAGTGGTGGGCAGGGTGGCCCAGTGGTTAAAGTTCAGAGTACCAAGATTGGCGCAGAAAGGCGCGGGTTCGATCCCAGCTCTAAGCGCTAGTTTCTAGTCAGAATCGGCAAGGAGACCGGGCGGTTAATTAAGCACAGCAGAATTTGAATCAGTGAGTTGTGAGTTGTGAGTTCGAGACCGCAACAAGCTGTGGATGTTCTGCGATGTTCAGAATCGGCGACAGGTCTATATGGCCTAGTAAACGCTGAAACCGCTATTATGTTTTTTACTGCGTAGCTAGATGGCCAGCTGTGAATTGGAAATGGAAATGGAAATGTGCCTTTAATTCATTCAAATGTAAATATCAAGACGGTATGGTGTAGGTGCAGATAGATTTTGATGAAAGAGATACATATTTTTTAAGAAACTAAATTTAGTTATTGAAATTTTAGGCTTGGATTCGTCAAAATCCCGTGCATTTACTTCCAAGTCAACGCCGCATTAAATTAAATTTCGTTAAACGAAAATGAAACCGTATCCCAGATTTTAACATAATTCGGGTCACGCGAAGGCTCCTGCCTATGGGTCGCTACATATATTATCTTGGGTCTGCATGATACCCCGATGGAAATCAGCTTCCGGTCATAATCTAATTTCGGAATTTATAGTGTATCGAGAGATTAACAAGGGTTAACTGAAGCCGAGTCATGTCGAGCTTGCAGGTTACATAAAGGCTGCACTTCAAGCCCAGCCTAAACATACATAGATTTTCGCAACCCCCGAGTCCAAAGCGATTCCTATCGCAGAGTCATGTCCGCTTCTAAATTTTGCTATGTAAAATGATCCCTGTACTGTTCCTATAAATCGCTTATAGGTCCTTGAGAGGCAATTCGACCTGCGCTCGTTTGTCTATTTTACCTTGAAAGAATCGCTAATAAACAGTAAATTATTCATCAACGGATAGTCATGATCAAATTGCTTTCTCGGAAATGTTCAGCAAGGTTTTTGGCTGCTAAAACGCCGCATTTTCATCAAAATTCGATAGTGAAGAAATCAATACTGCCTCTCACGTGTGCATCACTGTGTCTAGTTTCGTAGNCAACCGTAGATCAGCCTTCAATTTATAATATTCGAATTTGGTTAACAGATCAAAATAGAAATCTTTTGAATACTAGAGGTGAGGAAATAACAGTATGATTACACTTGCACTGCAGTCACTGCGATAACTCGAATCAAACAAACATACGACTGGCGGTCCTGATGAACAAATAAATGATGGTATATTAAAAAGGCTCAAGTAAATCATTATGAATAATAAATGAAATAATTGCGCAGATTAATTAGCAATCAATAAAAAATGTCATGTCATTTAGAAGCAAATATTCAAAGTCAGTAAAATATTAAAATATTCGGTAAACTCCCAAGCCCGAACTAAACATCAAATTCTCAAAATTTTGACGGGGCTGCAAAAATTTTTCCTTGTGATGTCACGCTGGTTTAGCGTAAGAGATTCAGGGCCGAAATTGTGGCGGTATTTAGCCTATAAAAATGTTAATAACATTCGTGCATTTAATTCTGCTTCTAATTAAGTCGAAGCTTTGAGGAAATATGTCATAGAATTACTATAAAAAATGTTCAATGCAGTTTCCAAAATTTTTAATCAAAGATTTTTGGGTTATGATTTTTCTATCGTATTATAGTTGCGTGTTCTTCTGATTTATATTTGATCATTACCAAATTACGATTGTGTGTAACTTTTGTAGTAGATTTTAGTTAGCTTATTGGGTTAGCTTTTAGTTAGTTTATTGGGTTTAGTTAGCACTTAGAAAGTGAGTAGCAATAGGTGAAAATAGCAATAGACACTTGGGAAGAGAGTAGTAATAGGTAATACTAACAATAGACACCTAGAAAGGTAGTAATAGTAGATAATAATAACAATAGACATTTAGAAAGAGAGTAATAGTAGATAATAATAAAAATAGACACTAAGAAATAGATTAATAATAGGTAATGAAAACAATAGACACCTAGAAAGAGAGTAATAGTAGATAATAATAACAATAGACACTTGGAAAGTGAGTAACAATAGATAATAATAAAAATAGACACTAAATAAGAAAGTAATCTCACCATCGAAGAAGGGTCAATAGAGCCGAAGCTGCGAATGTAGAGCTCGCAGTCAACCACCGTTGCGTTGTCTAGTAAGAAAAAGTTTATAAAACAACTGAATATTCTCATTCTTTCTTCACCATTATCCAATGTAAAATTAATGAGAACACAGTTTCTGAAAAATATCTTTGGAATATTATTCATAAATGAGCATTTTTATTCACTTTAGAGGACTTAGTTTCATCGAAAGCAAAAATGGTTTTCATAGAAAATTCTAGAGAAAAATTCGAAAGAAATACGTTTGATTTTTAGAGCTTGCGACCGATACTTTTATTGAGCAGAAACACAAGCTAGGAATTCTTATCCGATTTTTGATTAATGAGTGTAGGCAAAGTAATTTTCCCAATTTTTCGAAATGATCAGAAGTCAACGATATTCAAAGTACTTATTATAGAAAAAAATAAGAAGCAAAATTACGCCACCATTGATATATGCAATTCATGCACTTATCGCGAAAATTTTCACATCATTCTGGGCCGCGGCTCGAATAAAAAATCCAAATTCCCTACAAAGGAGTGAATGCGGTCACGAGACACAAAAAACTGAAAATAATTGATGCGAATAATCGAAAAGGAATATGAATAACTAAAGTTACTCAACATTTTCCCCTAACAAAGGCAAATGTTTGTACGGTTAAATGAGCAGAGGTGATTTATTTTGAACGCTTAGTGTGATATTTTCGTGCTTGCGCAGCTCCTTTTATAAGCGTTAATTTGCTTCGTTTCCTCATCGTTCGGCTGACGAAACCGAAAACATCATTTGAGGCCCTCATCAAAGGCCTCCGAAGTCTTTGCGGCGAAAAATGTCGGATTATCATTTTGTTTTCATATTCAAACCGAAAATTAAACTTTCTTTCAATTGGTAGGATACAATAATTTTCCATCTATTGCGCGAAATTGTGACAACCATCATAAACAAATGAAGAATGAATAATTTATTTCGTGTTGGTCACATGTAAGTATTTATTTTGAAGCTGAAAACAAATCTGGCCCGGGCGAATGAGAAATTATGATTTAAAATTCGTTTTGACTGGTCAGATACCCTTAAAATCTCTCCTGTTTCTATTAAGAGTAGCAATTCCTTCAAACAAACACTGCCCCGATACCATAATTTCGTTAAAATATTTCAAAATCAACGGAATTTATTATAAAAATAACTTAGGCGCCGATTTTCCGATAACTTTTATCCATTACGGTTTGGACAAATAAACATACATAAATAATGCAAGCATTTTAGATACGAATAAAAAAAGTCGAAAAAATAAAAATTAAATAAAATCTTATATTTAAAACTCACTCCACTGATTGGACGGAGTTGCCCGACGGTCATATTGAGCCAGAAGCGTGTCCAATATTTGTAGGTCCGTCATCTTACTGGCCCTCCTGAAAAATTGTAATTATAAATAAAAAGTAAGGTCATACAACTAAATAATACAACTTTAAAAATTGCAATAATAAGTAAAACAATCAAATGTTAAATCTATAAGAGATTAAAATTATATTTTTAAAATACACTAACAATACTTTTACAAGCAGGCTCTACCAGTAGATTTTCGAAGTTCGTATCAAGCACAAGTGCTGGGATAGAATTAAAACAATTATTAGCATGCATAATATTAGTCACCAGTTATTTAAAATTATATCAACGGTAGTCAAAATTATTGTTGTAAATATTACTATTCTCATCTTAGCTACAAATTTTATTCAAAATATTATATTTCCCGTCACAAAATTGTTTCGGATTCTCTTATACATATAAGCTATGCATTGAAAAGCAAGAAAATGATATAAAATAATTTTCGTAGTGAACGAAATTATTAACTGGAAATCATTCGTTTCCTAATAATATTTGATTATATCTGCAGAAAATTTATTCCAAGAAAATTTTTTAAACACAGATTTCATATTTCGTAATTAGACGTTTTCATCATGAAATATTTTTACTGTTTAGAGATTTTATATGAATATAGCCGACTACAAACAAGAAATTTGCTCTCATTTCCGGAATTTTGTGAGCAGGTAGCGGGTATCATGAGATGTGTTCAACAATCAACAATTTCTTTGTAAATAAGATCGAGTCACGTGTCCAGTTGTCAACGGCTTCACTCTATAGCTAAAGTTATTGCCAGACTCGTAACAAGTTGGAAAATATTACCCGCTATAAGAATAAAGAAATTCGACCAATTAAGTGATAATATTAACAGCTGCAACGAAAGAATCTTCCATTCTGACTTTATGACCTCTTTTCCGATGACATTTTATAACTTAAATTGAACTTATCTCTTCGAAATCGAAAATAAGAAAAAAATTGTCAGAAAATTTAGTGAATCTGATGGCGGAAATGTTGCTAATGGAATATTGAAAAGTTTAAAGTAAGGTCAGGCCGTGTATAGGTTATAAAATACATTCGGATCACGTGTAAAATTTGAGATAGAATTTGAAAAAATGATACGGATTAAATGGAGCGAAATTCAATTTTAGCACTAGCGATGCCTTTCATTTTGGAATATTTTCTATGAAGACTGGAGATAAAAACGCGTTAGCCGGCCATAATTGCCTAATTTTTTGAGCAAAACGCAGTTCGTTTTTGATAAAAAAAACATGGAGGGTCTTTTTACCATGTAGATTTTATTAAATTAATTCTCGGGGCATTCATTCTTTATTAAAAATTATGTCAAGATGTACATTGACCTAACGTGTAAATGATTGCAAAATTCACTAGCAATAAAAACTCTATTTAGCAGTCCTGCAATTTAAAGACAGGAATCCTGTTTTTTCCAGAAAAATTAATGCATTTCAATCGTTCAGCACACTGAATTTTTCGACTGTTTTCGCAATCTTCATTCACGTCTACTGTGCGGATCAAGTTTAATGTTTACGGAAAGAACATCCGCGTAAAACATGATTTCAGAACTCAGACTTGGATGTCCGACACGTTATCTCACGGGTCAATTTTCTTTTTTATTTGTGATCATACGGGTCAATGATCTCGCATGTCTCGCCTACATAACAATAAAGAAATATTTCACATCAATAAATTATGCGATCAGTTTTTTTTTGACGTTTTCATTGACTTTTTGAAATGGACGGAAAATTCACTGAAATATAAGACAGCCATAAATAATTTTAGGAGCGTGGAAAAAATGTGAAACTAGCCTATTTTTTTCTTGTGACTTCATTCTCGAACTCGTTCTAATTCAATATTTAAAAACCGTGCATTTATAGTTCTTTATAACATATATTTTTTTCGTCATCTTGAGTCGTGAAGAAAATTTTACAACACGTAAACATAAAAACAAACACTGTAAAATTTAAAATAACATCGACGATATTGCTCAACAATTGCTTACCCAAAATTACGCCAAAACTATTCGCGAAAACGGTGTAAATTAAAATTTTAGTGTCAATATCGATCCATCAGAGCGTGGATCGGGTTCTCTGTATATGTATTCTCTGTTCGAATTCTCGAACAATTCACACAATCAGCGCCATGACGAGGATCGTAAGTGAACAAAAATAGCTTTGCAGGGACTATATATGTCCCTCTGTGACTCGAGCTTTATGAATCCCAGTCATGCTGGTTCAGCTCATTGGGCTTATATACAAGTTATTCACACGGGCATTTACTAAAACCGAACTGTACAATTGCGTTGTGCCGTGTATTCCACTCCTGCTAGAATCTAAAACATGAATGAATAAATTTCGGAAATAAACAAAACCTAAAGTACCAAAGTCTCTATACTAAAATGGAAAATTGCTATTAATGAAATCTGATTGAATTTGTACTATAATTGGCGCGTCGCAAATTGAAGACGAACATCATTCACTGGGGAAAGATTTTCTTCCAACAATCTATCAACAAATTTTGTTGGCAAAAATTTTTTGCGACATTTCTGCTTAGGGCATAACATTATCCCTTGTGCTGAGGTAATAACGCAGTAATTGCATTCAGGATCAGAACCAAAAACAACGAATAACAGGGCAATTTTCTTGCAAATTTCTTAGCTGACAAATCTCGTTCCTTTTAATTAAAGTATGATCATTGATACATAATCAAGCAATGTTTCTGACACCGGACGAGCTATTCAAACTATTTTGAAACGGACCTACAATACTTATGAATTTAATTCGTACTTACACTGTTCGACAAAAACTTAAAAAACATGGTTATCGACGTTCTAGTGGCCTGTCAACCGTGAAAATTACGTGTTTCGCAGTTTTTTCGTAACGTGTTGCGGGTTTCTTCGGTTAAAATGAAAAAAAGACAATGTGGTGTTTTTAAATGTGCCACATGGCCCCTGAAATGGGTACCGGCCTGCCACTCACCGTTATACATTGATTTTCCGAACAGTGAAGTTAATGGAATACTTATAGGAAAGCTAATTCATGTACCGTCTAATTAACCACAATACCTAGAAAAAATATCCCGTAAAAATTCTGATACTGAATTATGAGTGCTTCAAGTCAAGTTCTGCTGAATACACATGAATGGATCGAGATAATTTCGAGATTCCAAACTGACCAAAACGACTTCAAATAATTTCTAATCAGAGTGGAAAATTATCGGGAAAGATGATAACCCCGGAAATTACATCATATTGCTAATTCACAAAGTATTGTTATGTCATTTATCTGCCTACGAAATTCGAGTCAATGCTAAAAATTGGTGTTGAACATCATCGATGCACCGAGTTGAAAATCAAGGGTTTTAGAATTTATGTATGGCACATTTATTTTAAATAGCATTTGTTTTATTTAAAATTTAGAGTTCTATGTTGCGGGAAGACATAAACGGTGCCTTGTTGTATTGAAGACAGAGATTTACTGTCCAGTAAATTATTATAATTGAGTGTCGATGCAACTAAATGAATACGAAAAACAATGCATTGAAACGGAAAATATATAACGCTGAATTGAACAGAATTTATAATCCCTGTATTCAGCAGATAATTTGCCCAATGCTTTGAATTCGCATCTAAACGCTTAACCCTCTACGGCCGTATGTCACTCTCCGGGAACAAAACTTTCAAATAAAATAATACGTAAACTATTGAGTGTAGCAACCTGAAGAAGAGTTGTTGCAACAGAGAACATTTTAAAGTTGTCGTACGTGGCGGCAACCATCAGTGCAAGTCATTTTGCGCTCACTAGAACGTATCCTTTTTGGGAAGTAGGCGCGTGACAATATTGCTCCGGTTACTCATGTCAAGCTGTAGAGGGTTAACGATTGATAGCATCTTGTTAGAGTGACCTCGGGATAGGGAGTTTGAAATTAGTTGCAGTAAAATTTATAACTTTTTTTTATGGAGATTCGAATTAATTTGTATTTTTGGTCTATGCGAGATTATATTTTAACGTTTGATGTTGGATTTTTTTGTCTAATTTTACTATTTTCGACAGTTTTATTGTTTATTTCCTGAATGAGTTGATTATTGACTTATATTGTTAATAAAAGGCATTCTCAGGTCTTCATTCAAAGTCGCATTAAAATGAACAATGTGCACAATTCTGTTTCTAAAATAAATAGATAGTTATAAATTTCATGGTCAGTGAAACCTTTTCAAATATCATGAACAACAAGAAGAATTTAATTATGAGTCAATTGCTTTTCAAGGAAGAGAACTAGAAAGCAGGATGAGATTCATTTCAGGAACGAAATATTTTTTGGTCTAGAAACTTACTTCAGGCCTGACATTCCACGTAATTTTCCTCGGAGTAAAATCCCACGAAAAATGTTCAAAATTTAATGAAAAGCGCAAAACTTTTGTAGCTTTGCTCAAAGAAAAGCCGTTCTCTCACCGCGCAATCAAGCAGCGCCGAAGAAAAGTCACATTTTCATGATTGAGTAATAAATTGCTTCTGAATCTAAAGGAAAAATTTTTAGAGGTGAAAATGATCAATTTCCAACGCGGCCGATACTTCCTTACTACGATGTCCATCTTCCAACGGCCAGTATCACTAAAGTCGCCTCTGACCTCAAAGGTCAATTCAATTTTACTTGGACTCAGATTCAATGTCTTTCTTGGACCGCCATCAGAAAGAAGATAAATCCAAGGGACTCTGCGTTTTGGGTCCCGGAAGGAAAATTTATTTCAGTCGCCCAAATGGACTCTCAAGGACAAGGTATGAAGTCAATCAAGTTCTTATTCAGTGTTGAGTGCTAGATTCATCACGAGGTTTTCATGGCTAATCATACACATGGAGACCGTAATAACGTTTGTTTACATCAACGCCGTCGGAACTGGGGAGTTTTGTCCATTCAAAATTTTCTCGAGATAAAAAACACTCCATGGCCTCAAATAGCCTGCCGCACTCACACGAGAAAATATATCATTTCTTGTGAATCATAATTATTGTTTTCAGTTAATTATCAGACATTTTAA